TGTACTCCCTACACTGAGCCCAAACCCTGACCAGTCTGTGCCCATCCTAGTGCTCCAGCCACACCCACCGTACTCAAACCTCAGGGCCTTTGCACGTACCAGCTCAATGCCTGGACACCCTCACCCTGCTCCAGTGGGTCCTTTAAGCCTCAGCTTACGGAGGCTTCTGCTGACCTACAGTGCCATGAGGACATGGCCAGCCTTTCTGTCTCTGCCTCCAGGGCCCGACATGGGGACAAAAAAGGTAACCCCTGATGCTGGCCAATCAGATTTTGTTTCGTAAACAGTGGTCACCAGGAAAGACTTCCGGGCTCTAAGGCACTTGTGGGTGAAAGGGACCCCTGTCCTGGGGCTCTGATCACAAAGCCAGGCCTGGCCACCAAGTGTGACTCTGACCATGCCCTTCCTTCTTCATAGCCACATGATGTCCCCGGAGCTGGTGGGAGGCCCCTGTGGGCCTCCCAGGTTCACCTCCCTACTCCCCACCTGGCATATGGCACCTGCTGCGGACAGCCCTGCGCTCAGCAGCCGGGTGCACGCTGCTCCCCCACCAGGGTGTCTGGACCTTGGCTCCCAGAGGGGCAGATGGAGAGCTGGTTCTCCCCTGCCCTGTGCCAGGCAAGCAGGCGGGGAGGGGACCTCACACCACGAGGCTGGTTGCAGAGGAGGCTCCCAGACCCCCCTGGGACTCCCCACAGATGTTCCCTTCATCTAGTTCCCCATGACCTGGCCAGGCAGGCTGAGGGCATGCTGACGGCCATGGAACAGAGGCTCCCATGGGGGCCAGGAGGTGGGTGACGGGCCCAGGACCCCCACTCAGGATGGGACCCTACAGGCTCTCAGTCCTAACAGGGGCTGGCCTGCCTGCCTGATCTGCTCTTTCTAGATGTTAAGTGGGGAGACAGGGGGTGGGGAATGGGATGATGGCAGGAGGACTGGGGGGGGCATGGAGCGGGGGGCCGACCCCTCACAGGCAGAGAGCTCCTGGCCAGCTGCCCTCCAGACATGCTTTGGGGATTACAGATTACAGCTCTCAGTCATTTGCATATCGGAATTTTAAACAGCCTGCCCCTCCAGCGAACAAGGTCATTTCAAAGATAAAAATACCGAGCTCTCCCCCTTCCTGACACCCACCCCCTTTCTCTTCAAAGGCCCCCAGCCCAGCATCCCCCTTTCCCCCAAGCCCCGGTGGGTGCCTTCCCCACCATGGGCTGTACCCCCTCCCTACAGACTGGGGACCAGGCCTTGATCGCACTCCTGAGCCTTTACTCAGACTGTCCACTTGTGACCAGAGGACCTCCTTGCCCTGTGGGGCCCGTGTGGGGGCCTCCCTGTCCGCCAGGATCTCCTCCCTTTCCTGCACACTCCATGGTTCACTCGCGGGTGTGGTCTGAGCTCCCAGCACGGAGGACACATCCCCGCACACCAACTCATGAGGGGCCAGAGAGTATTCATCAACATGGGGTGTGGGCTCTGTCCCAGCCCCTGCCGGCCCGAGGTGGGCTACTGCCCCTCTGCTCAGAGGACAGCAGGGACAGAGCCGGCTCAGAGCTGGGTCTGCAACCCTGCCTGGCCCCGCCCACTCCAAGTGCGGTGGGGGCCTCTTGTGCCCAGGGCAGGGGAGAGTGGGGGGGGGGGGGGGACAAGACCACACCACGGACAGGGAAGCGAAAGGCGGCCTCTCCCTGCCTTGGGGCCGCGTGGCCGGGCCAGCTGAGGGGTGCAGTGCCTTTCTGGCCAGAGAGCGGCTCCTTCTTGTGGACCCCGCTGACACCCCACTTCCCAGAGGAACCCAGGCTGCCGGGCGGGCAGAGGACGCTACGGCTGGCCCTCTGCGGGCTGGCCCCCCGTGAAGCTACCGCTCTCCCTAGCTCCAGCATGGAGGGGAGGAAACGGGGGCCCCAAGAGGTCAGGCACACAGTCCACAGTCACTCGGCAAAGCTGGACCGAGGCCGGGGCAGGTGTGCTCGGGGGTCTGCGATCCTGCCTCTCAACACAGCTATGCCGGGGTGGGGGGGGCTCCCACGGGACCAGTCACGCTCGAGAGCTAAGCCAACAGGGCTCACACCTCTTTCAAATGAAGACCCCCCCAGACTGCTTTTGGAGCTCAGCAGGTATCAGGGGGGGCAGGAACGGGCCTAGGAGACCGTGGGCCCCTCACGCGTCCCAGACCCGCACTCTAGCGATGAGGACGTCCTTTCGCATCCAAGACCTCCCCTGTGTTGGTGGTGTGTCCAGGCCCCCCTGGGAGGCCGCCTTCCTGCCCGGTGCCCTGGGGGTGCCTCCTGGGGGTGCTCGCGACCGTCTGCTCTGGGCCTTGACCACCGGAAAGGCAGCTCCTCTGCACATGCTATGCTGCGGCCGAGAGGCCCTGAGGCCCAGTCACTCCCCCAAAACCAGACAGTGCACGGTGCACTGGGTCCAAGCTAGCCCCTTCATCCTGGAGGAGAACGGTACCCGGTGTCCCCCAGGCTGGCCCCCCAAGCCCGGTCCCCAAGCCAGGTGGTGGGGCCAGCACTTTTTCCCCATCTGGGGACAGAAAAGTGGCGGCCAGCCAGAAGCAAGACACAGACTCAGAGACACAGGGAGGGAGAAAGGCTCGCCCAGGACATGCAGAGGGGCTCGGGGTCAGACAAGGGGAGGGGGAGCAGGGCTTGTGGGCAAAGGCCACAGAGCAGGCCCCCTCCCGCGGCAGGTCACTGGGCTGGGCACTGCCCTCAGGGACGCCGGCCCGGCCAGGCCCTGGCAAAGCCCTGCTGCCCCATCGCTGGCATGGGCAGCCCGGCAGAGATAAGGATGCAGTGGGCCTCTCTGGCTTCCCTGGCGGACGATAAGTGTGGCCTGTCCAGGGTCTGATAGGGGGCAGGCACCGCGGCGGTTGGCCAGGGGCGGCTTATCGGCCCATCGCTGCCCACTGCACAGAAATTCCTATCTGCGGAGGCTGAGAGGGAGCCCCCCGGCCCCAGAGGATGCACCCCAGCCCTAAACCACGGCCACCCCAGCTCCTACCCCCCTGCCCTGGGGTCAGCTCCCAGCCTCTCGGGGCCTCTGTGCCCCCATCTATAAAATGGGGGTGAGACACTGTGTTGCATCCTGGGATGGCAACTGAAGCTGCTGCTGACACATCGCAGCCCCTGCTCCGGAGCCAGGCGTGAACCCCCAGAGCTGGGCTTGCACCCTGGGAGCTGGGTCTGTACCCCGGAGTCGGGTCTGCACCTCAGGAGCTGGGTCTGCACCCCAGGAGGCGGGTCTGCACCCCAGGAGCCGGGCCTGTACCCCAAAACTGGGTCTGCACCCCAGGAGCCGGGTCTGCACCCCAGGAGCCCGGTCTGTACCCCAAAGCTGGGTCTGCACTTCCAGAGCCCGGTCTATACCCCAGGAGCCAGGTCTGCACCCCACTTTGCTACTTCCCAGCTGGGTGACCTTGGACAAGTCCCTTTGTCATGCTGTGCCCACCTCAGAGGCTGGTGTGGGGACTGCGTGGTGCTTTCCTCCCCACAGATGCTCTTCCCGGTGGTTGTGGCTTCAGTCAGGGCCCCTCAGGCGCGTGGGTGGTCCCTGCTCCCCCCACCGCAGCAGGAAGTTTCCTGATAAAGACTGAAATGTGAGGGGTTATAGGGCCTGCGGCAGTGCTGACCTAGCTTCTCGGGGGGGGGAGCGCCTCGTTGCTACCTCATCTGCAGCTGGAGAAACTGAGGCAGGAAGAGCAGTCTGAGCACAGGGTCCCTGCCCAGCCCTAAGGCACTGTGCTGTGTGCAGAATGGCCCCGGTGCGGACCCAAGCACCCAGCCACCCATGTGGCTTAACGATGCCTGACTAGGCCCTGAGGGCCTCAAGGACACATGGCCCCTGGCCCCCCTGGCCAGCTTCTCCTTGGTGGGGACAGGGCACATGGCTGCCGCCTATCTACCAGGACACCTGGGCACGCCCCCGCCATCAATGGGACCCCAAGAAGTGGGGGGGACGGCTGAGGGACACAAACCCAGTCTGTTTGAAGGGCAGCGGGCTTGCTGTGCTGGGGGCAGCAGAGGGGACCCCCAGCACTGTCTTGCCCAGGATGCTCGGCTCCTAGACACCACCACGGCCCACCCAGGCGGGAGGGGCTGAGAGCGGACTCGCCTCCCCCGTGGGGTGGGGTCACCGTCCTGGTTGTGAGCGCCAGGCCAGCCCCTCCTTCCCATGGCCCTCTGAGGAGGAACGGGGGTCCCCTCTGCCCTGGCAAAGCCCTCCCTGACCCCACAGCAAGGCAAGGCCCTGCCTACGTGCCCCTTGCCACGGCCCGAGCCACACTCGCATCACTCCTGCGCACTCTCCGAAGATCATCTGTTCACAGCTGTGTGTCGGGTACACGGCGTGCACTCAGTGAATGCTTCCTGCACCTGCACATGTCTGAGCCAAGGGCCGCCTCGCCCCCGTCCTTGAGGACAAGCCATACCTGTGTCCAGAGATGCAGCCCCACACCCCCGCACGCCACCCCACTTGCCCCAGAATTATGGAGAACACCTCTGGTCAGACTTTTGGCTGCAAATTGGTGGTCGGGGCGACGGGTAGCAGGAAACCACCCTCAGAGCCACGCCCCGCGCTCCAGCACCGGGCAGGTGGGGCCGACGCCTGCCTCCCACGTGACTGCAGCCACCCCACTGCGGCCCGAACCCCCAGCCCGGGGGGACGGCCCTCCAGACACACGCCCACAATGCCTCTCCCCGCCCTCCCCACCTGAGGCTCCTCTTGCCCAGCCAGAGGGGAATGCCTCCCGGGAGCCCCCGCAGCGTGCTGGCAAAGCGTGGTGCCCGGCCCCACAGGCTGGCTGGACTTTGGAACGGGCACAGGCCCTGGCCCAGAGGGTCGCCACCGGCCTCCTCCGCCAGGAGGCAGGGCCTTTCCCACCCAAGCCACCAGGACAGCAGGCTCCCTGGATTTTCAGAAGGCTGGGCCTCCAGGCCCCGACCGACCGACCGACCGACCGACCGACCAACCGACCGACCGCAGGGGTGCTTTACCTGGCCCGCTCCAGGAGACGCCAGACTCCTCCTCCAGCGTTGTCTCCGACTCCTGCCCCTTCATCTCCTCGGGGCCTCCTGGGGGCGTGGGGGGCGGTGGCGATGGTGGGGGTGGGGGATTAGCGTCTGCAGACAGAAAACACCATCAGGCCCTGCCATCCCTGGGCACCGATCCACCCACCTCCCCCATCTCGCCCTGTGGCCGGGAGGGAAACTGAGGCCCAAGTGGGTGAGCACGTGCTCAAGGTCACCCCCCACACCCAGGTTTGCGCTAACGGGGGACAGAGACCTCAATTTTCTCCTTGGCCTTTAAAACCTCTCATCCCCTCATTAATTGCAGCAGTAATTATTATTCCAGCTGCAGCTAATAATTAGAGGGTAGGGTGGCCTAAAGGGCACACGTGTAGGCCCCGGCTCCCTGGTCTCCTCCGCCGGCAGCTGGGGGCCCCTCGAGCCGGGCCCTGCACCCAATTCCAGCCCAAAGGGCATATTTGCCTTCCCTGCCGAGCCTGATAACTACCACGGTCCCCAATCGATGAGCTCCCATAAAAGCCCCCCCTTGGTGACGTCACACACCCGGCAGATTATTAATACCCGAGATAAGAGCTGTGATTAACATCAAATAAATCAATCACACAGTATAAAAGTCCTATTATTTTTGGCTATAAATCAACGTGGCTGGCATTTGAGCTCCAGCCCTCGCGCGGGAACCGCGCTGGGCCTGCCCGAGAGGCAGATACGGCTCCCGCCGCCTTATCTCGCCCATCTCAGCGTTATCACCGCGGCCTGTGCCAGGTGCAACCCCGGCTGTTTTTTCCAGCTCCTTCCCCGGCCCCGCCCCCACCCCGCGCAGCCCCAGCCCAGGCTAGCAGATCAGATAAGGGGCCTGGCTCCCCTGGAAAACCACCGGGTCAAAGTCCACCAGCAACAGCCACTTGGCCTTTGGCAGCTCAGGGCGCCCCCGGCAGCACACAGCACCTAACAGCGGGGACGATGGTGGCGTTGATAAGGGGCCCCTCACGCACTCCCGCAGCCTCGGCCGCCCAGACACAGATGCGGAAACTGAGGCTCAGGCAGAGCAGGAGCACGGGCCCGGGGAAGGGCCGGGGGGCAGCGGGCTGCACCACTCGCCGCGGTGATGAGGCAGGCGGCAGAGATAATAGTAATGACTGCAAAGCGGCTCCCGGCCACTGTCCCTGGGTGAGCTGGGGGGAGGGGAGCCTCGGCCCCCCACTCCCGATGAGGCTGCCACTGTGGAAAGGGACACTGGGGCCAGCAGGTCTCAGAGGACGAGGCTTGTTGGGCTCCTGGCCTGTGCTCATCGCGGGGGGCAGGGCACGGATGCTCGGAGACTGGGAAACGCTGGGGGCGGGGGGTCCACAGTGAGTACGTCTGCCTAGGATCTCCGCTGCCCACTAGCCAGTCCCTCTCGGCCTCTGAAGTGGCAGGTACGCCCTTCTCTGTGCATCCTCTGGTCTCTGCTCAGTGTCACCCCCGCCCCATCTCTCCTTTACCCCGTCATGTCACCTACTCACTGCCTTCTGAAACGGTCTGCTTTGGGGCTACATCTCCCCCATCAGACTACGGCCTGGGGGTTACTCAGCCCCCGTGTGCCAAGAGCGTCACGGCCCTGAATGGGGGTAAGACCCCTGGCCATGGCCAGCAGGGGGGAGGCAGGGAGCGGTGAGTCCGGCTCAGAGCAGGCACACAAGATCCCCCACTAATCCCCCAAGTCAAGTAGCCTCCTCAGGAAAACAGGGGTGAGGGTGCTGATCTCCCCCATGCGTCCACCTCAGGGAGGCCTCTCGTCCTGGGGGTGTCTGCGGGTACGGCTAGAGAAGCTGCCCTTACTGGGACCTGTCCAGAGCAGGCTTCCCGGTGTCAGGTTGATTCACCTCTGGGTCTCTCCCCAACACCACCCCCACCCCCGAAACTGCCACCAAGAGGGTCCAAGGAAAGGTTCCAGCTGCCTGGGGTGGGGGGAGCAGGCTCTGTACGAAAGGAAATCAACCTGAACCAGACCTGGGGTCGGATCACTGCTCGGGTGTTTACAGGCTGTGTGACCGTGGGCAAGTCCCTTCACCACTCCGGGCCTCATGCCCTCGTCTGTAAAATGGGGTACAGTGCCGAAGCAGGAGAACCTGCTATGCGCTAGACCACGCGGGCTGAGGCCTCGCTGCCCCATCCCACAGACGGTAAACGGAGGTGGGGGAGGGCATGGTTTTCTCGAGGTCACTCAGTGGCCCAGGACTCCCTGTCCAAGCCTGGACTAGACCTTCCCCATCGAGGCCTTTGTCTGCCCCTCTGTACCAGAAGGGGCTGGACTCCCAAGACCCTCCTCATGCTGACCCAAGACCCACCCCCGTCCCTCCAGGCCCCCGGCCGCCAGCTGCCCAGCCACTGGCCCACAGACGCCAGCAAGCACAAGGCGCACTTCACCGATGGGGACGTGGGAAGGGGTGGGGCAGCGCAGGGCGTGAGACACCGGCCTGTCGTGCACCCACCGCCGGGCTCACCTGGACTGGAAGGGCTCAGGGGCTCGGGCTCTCCTGCGGCCTCGGGCTCCGGTGTTCCGGCCTCCCGCTCTGGGCAGCTGGCGTCCATGGCCTGAGCCTCTTCCGTAGCTTCCACGTCTCCAAGGGAACCTGCAGACACAGCCCGAAGGGAATCGTGAGGCTCTGTGGGGCAATGGCCCCCGGACTCCAGACCCCCGCCCCGGGCAGAGGGCCAGAGGCTCTGCCACCTCACAGGGCCAGAGGCCATGAGCGGCGCCCCCAAGACTTATGCACATCTCACCCTTGTATCACCCCAGTCCCTGCAACAGTTCCGACGCCTGGGGTCACCCTGGCGTCCCACCCCCACCTCCCCAGCTCTGCAACCTCTCAGCGCACTGACCCCTCTGGCCAGGAGGGTGGTCCTGGCCCCTCCTGGGGTCTCCCCTCTGCTCTGTTCCAAGCTCTGGGAGCAGCCACGGTGCCTCTTCCGGTTCAGGGGGCTCCTGGGGGCTGTATGGACCACAGCCCTCGCCTCCCCCTTGCCAACCCCCTTGGGGGGTTCACGGAGCCCCAGCGCCCACGCACAGCCCCTAAGACGTGAGGGTAAATCTCTCCTGGGCCCAGACAAGCTCCCCGAGAAGCTCTCCACACTCAAGTACCGAGGTTTGGGAGCTTCGTGAGGGTGGGCCCGTGTGCGGGGCCCAGGAAGTGCTCAGAACACCTGGCGACGGGAATGCGTGCTTGATGGGGCACAGGTGTTGGCGGTCAGCCTCTGGGACCGGAGGGCCTCAGGCCTGCGGCCCCTGATTCCAATCGTCACCTTCCCCAGGAGGCCCTTGCAGGTCTGCTCCACGGAGCCCCCTTACAGCTGAGAAGGTGGACTCAGAGCCCAGAGACTTCCTGGGAGAGGAGGGAAGCCAGACCCGCCAGGGCAGCACCCTCCATCAGACCGGCGCGTCCGGGGGAGGGCGGGCAGAGGGGAGAGTGGTGAGCAGGTGTCCCTCCTTATTCTGCTCTCAAATCTCCCCAGGCCCCTTGTGGCTGGTTCAGCCTGGGCCCTGAGGCCTGGAGACAGGTGCTGGGGCTGAAGCTGCCTCCTGCCCTAGTTACCTTCCCAAATGGCTCCTCTAGCCACCTGTCCTGCCCCCCCCCCCCCGGTGCCCCTTCCCTCCCCCCAGTCATCAGGGAGATGATGCCCATCATCTGGGCGTGGCCATGGGGCAGGGTCCCGACTCACAGACCCCTGCTCAGCCCAGGCTGCCAACCCCACAGCAGCCAGGCCCTCTTGCTGCCGAAGAAACATCTGGAAGTCATGACAACGTCTGCAAATCCACGTGTCGGGGGTGCCTGATGGGGCCGAATGGGGCTAGCTCTTGCTGGCATCGGGGGCAGAGGCATTTGGAATGGAAGGGCCACCTCTCAGGGGCTGAGCTCCCCATCCCTGGAGGCAAGCAAGCAGCAGCTGATGGAGATCTGACTGGGATTCATGCCTCTGTGACCTTTTCTACGTCATGACCCCCATGGGGATCTGGTGAAAGCCAGTGCCTTCTCCCCAGAAAACACAGAGACCAAAACGTGCCGTTTCAGGGGCTTCTCACCAAACCCCTAGTCTTCTTCTGGTGCCCTCCCTCACTCCCCTCCTTCCCTGTATTTCCCCAGGGGTGAAACCCGGTGCCACCAGCCAGCTCCACCGCGGGCCACAGGAGCTGGCTCAGGGCAGTGGTCCAGGGAGACGATGATAGAAGGAGCAATGTGAGAAACGAGGCTCCACCTGACTTTCCGAATGTAGCAATTTCCACGGGGCAGAGAGGTGGTCAAGCTGGTTTTGTTTGCCTTCCAGCTCAAATCCCTGGTCACTGGCAGACGGCGGCCGGCTACAGTAAGGAAAACCGAGCGTTCCCGGCGGGGCGGATGCCCTTCCTGCCTCCCGCCAACATGTGGGGCGGACACCGCTCCAGGAGGCAGAAGTGCCCAGGACATCGAGACTCTGCGGGGGACTCCCAGGCCCGCTGGGGAGACCGTCAAAGAACAACAGATGGGCCCCAAACAGGAAACAACAGATTATAAGAGCTGGGAGGGAGGGGGGCAAATGAGGGAGGAGAGAGCAGGGGAGATGCCACCAGCAGAGCTCAGAGGGGACAGACAGCTGGGAACAAGGCTCCGGATGGAGGGCCTGGGGGCTGGACAGAGCTCGGCTTCAAGGCTGGAGAGAGGCCAGGGCAAGGAGCGGATCCTCATCCCGGAGGCACTGGAGGGCCCTAGAGAGTCCCCGGCAGGGTTGTTGCCCGGCTGCAGCCGTCTGGACTCCAGCTCCGGACCGGAGTCCCAGCCTCCCCGGGGACACCCCGGAGCCGTAATTACAGGAGATGGGCAGGTGCCACCACCCCGTGGCCGGGCCGAGACCGCACAGAACCAGCCCCAGGCCAAGTCTTGTGCTTTCTTGTCAACGCACCCACATGGACAGACGAGCCTCTGAGGGGGACTGGGCACAGCCCAGCTGGTCTAACGTGGCCCCTGGGACAGGTGGGAGGTGCGACCTGCCGTGGCCTGCCTTGGCCTGCATCTGGGCAGGAAAGCAGAGGCTGCGGGGGAGGCTGGCCTCAAGCTGCCCCGCCTGTGGGGCTGGTGCTGGGCAGATACCGCTGGTCACGGTGGCCAGCGGCCTGGCAGCCATCCCAGCCTCGGTGGGCAGCACAAAGGCCTCTGGGGTCAGCCTGAGACGGGCTTGTGCCTCCCGGGCTCATGAGACCTCCAAGGGGACGGACCGTAGCTGAATGGCCATAGGACCTCAGGGCCTCAGTCACCTGCTCCGGTGAACGGGTGCGAAGCCACCTGCTCTCAGCGCCCGCAGGGACCAGAGCGTCGGGGCAGAGCTGACGCCCCCCTCCCCACCCCTGCCCAACCCAGGGATGCAGCTCCGACTGTCAGGGCCCCGCTCAGGCGGGCCTCAGCCACCCAGGGAGGCCCCAAGCTCGTGGCGGGTCCGTTTATGGGAGAACAAAGGCCCCCGCGCCGCACAAAGGCGTGACGACGAGCGTGAAGAAAGAGGCTGCCGGGCTGCAGCAATTTATTCTAATGCCGCTAATTCAGTTCCAGCACAATTAAACCCGCTCTGATAATGTCGGAGACAGCCGCCAACCAGCAAATCGCTCCGAGCCCATGAGGGTACGTGTCACGGCCAAGGCTGAGCGTGCCATCCCGCCCCCGGGTCACCCTGGGGTCCCACCCCACCGGGGGCTTGGGGAGGAGGGTTCCTCCACCGGCCACCCAGCAGAGAGACGCTGCTGCTTCCCCGGCTGCCCTGGGCCAGGAATGAGCCCCGCCTGGCCCCTGGGGGACGCTCTCTGGCAAAGATCCCAACAGCTAGGCCAGGCCAATCCATGCAAGTCCGTGCGGTGTGACCTCAGGCAAGTCACTCTACCTCTCTGTGCTCGGAAACCACAACAGCTCTTATGTCACAGGGTGAAGCGTGTAGTTAAGTACGCACCAAACATCATTAGCTGTCACCTGCTGCGCAGCAGGGCCTGGGGAATGGGGTGGGGAGCGTGCGGTTATTAAGCATCACCTGTCGTACACCAGCCCTGTGCTCAGCATTTTACAATGTTCTCCTTTAACCACCCCAGCCCGGTGGCCCAGACTGTAGGGGTGGTGGGGAAAGCGTGTGTGGACTGCACAGGGGTGGGGAGGGGGCCGGTGGGGCCCTGAGCCGGTCATGATGGGCAGATCTCCTCCCAGCTTCTCAACACCACCCAGAGGTCACGCCCACTTTGCAGATGAGTAAACTGAGGCCCAGCAAGGTGAAGTGACTTGCCCATGGCCCCCGTGAGGAAGCAGTGGAGGGGGCGGGCAGGGCAGGACCCTCCCCAGACATGCTACCCCTGCAGACGCTGGCTCAGGCAAAGCCGCCTCTGCACCAGGGTGGCCCCGTGCCTCCCTTCACCCTCCGGACACCTGGATCGAGGGTGACACCGGCCGCACAGCCCAGCAGGGTGGAGAGGCCAGTGCCCAAGGCTGGACCCCGTCTCGGGGTGCCCGTGGTGATAATGGCGGTTGCAGAGCTGCCCCCGCTGCCCGGAGCCCCTCAGTTATCACGGCGAGCAGACGCCCCGCGCCGATCCGTCTCCTGCTCATTAAGCCGGACGTGGAAATGGAAATGAAAACATAATAGCTATTTGATTGGGGGCGAGATAGTTTGCATATTGGCTGGGCGCTGATAGCAGAATTTCATCAACTCCCGTTCTTCATGCTTTAAGACTGAATTACGGAGACAGGCTCTGTGTGGCGGGATGATCCCCGCTCCCTTCCGAGTCCCCGAGCTGCACGACTAATGGCCCCTCCTGGCTCTGATGGCGAGGCAGCTGGTGGGGGGGTGGGGTGGCCTTGAATGACCACCTCTAAGAGAGCCGGAGCTGTTCTCTGTGGAGGGGACAAAATCCCCCCAGACTTTGGCCCCTAGGCAGACCTGTCGGGCAGGGAGTTGGTGAGGGTGTCTCCGAGCACTGGACGGGGAGTCCCGAGACCCTGGGCCTCCCGCTGGTCCCAGCTGGTCCTGCAGACTGCACCTGCATCCAGTGGAGGTGACTACCCGCACCCCAAGACCACTGGAAACATGTGAAAGAACCAGGGCAGAGTCCCCAGGAGCCCCCCACCCAACTCGGGGCCTGACCACAGTGTGATTCTTTACCTGAGGCCCCGCCCTGTGCCCGCCCATTACGTGGGTCCTTTATGCCTCTCTGGGAAGGTCCTTTTTCTTATACCCTATTTACAGAGCAGAAGACAGAGGCCCAGAAACCTGCCCTGGAGCCCCTCCTGCGTCAGGGCTGGATTTTGAAGGCAGGCCCCCTGGCCTGGGGGCGGGGTGGACGCTGATGGACCACGTGGCCCTGCCCTTCCACTGGAGTGCCGGCAGCCCTCATTCTGGGCCTCATCCTCCACCACTGTTCTCTCATTCACCCCTCCTTGACCCCCGCATTCATTAACCTGTCCAACCTTTCCTGGGTCCACCGAGGGCCAGACTCTGCCCCAGGACATACCCCAAGCAAAGTGAAAAACCCAAGTGTGGCCTTTGCCACGAAGGAGAGGTTCAGGTGCCAGTCAGGGAAGGCTTCCTGGAGGAGGCGACAAGTGATGGAGATCTGGAAGGGGACAGG